TGTGTGTGTCACTGCAGGTAGGGAAAAGTTGTGAAGATTCCTGCATCATTTTCGTTTTAAAATTGCTTGAAATGGCAGAGAGGGTATCTAGTCCTTGCACTGTGGAAAAACTGAAGAAAATTATCCAAGATGTACGGCCGTCTTCCTCAAGACCTCCTGACAAGACTAAGAACAGGAAAGACCCAACCTGGTCAGCCATTCTGCAGATACAGGCACATTCCATGACTAACAGATACAATGAGGTGTATCCAGGGATTTTCCTCGGCGATCAGTTCAGTATATTGTCAATTATTAGAGATCTAAGAAATTCTGTAAGAAATAAAATGTGTTTGAATAGATCCAAATTAATTAAGACTTTCGTTTGATATTGCAAACTGAATATGGATAAAAATTGAATAAAATTTAAGAGTTAATTTTCTGAATTATGAGTATACATGTAGAGTGTTCCATTTATGATTAAATTTCCTTAGTTTTTGAATTCTTCATGTTAATTTTGTTTCTGTCGCAATTCCTTGACAGTTGAAATTATATATATTTTTTTTCATTTTACTTGCAGCTCATTAGCCAAAAATAAAGAAGAACTTGTCTCCCTGGGTATAACTCATCTTCTTAATGCTGCAGAGGGAACAAAGTTCAATCAGATCAGTACAAATCAGGAATATTACCAGGACGTAAATATTAAATATTTTGGAATCCATGGTCAGGATGTTATGACTTTCAAACTGTCCAAGTATTTCAAAGAAGCTGCTGATTTCATAGATGAATGCTTGAAATCTGGAGGTAAAGTACATGTAGAGATATAAGGCACTAGTACTACAGTACTGCTTTAAACACTGTAGTAGTCTTTTTAACCCTGTTCTTTTTGTCTTGCTTTTTCGAAATCCCCCTCACCCCTCAACTGAAACGGTCCCAAACAAGATGGAAAATATTAGGTGAAGATGAATTTAATTGTGTCAGTAGCTTTGTTGTGAATGGAAATTTGGCTGGTAATGCTGTCATCTTATTGAATATTCAGTCAACTAGTCATCTGTGTTAGCCTTTTAACATTTTTTTCTTGAAATAGCCTGTCTTTCACAAATGGGACCAAATATTTTATCCCATTAGAGGATGTAATTACACCATATGTAACATCTAATACATTTATTATAATGGGATGATGATGATGTGATGAATGATTATTGCTCTTCCAGGGAAAATATACGTCCATTGCTTTGAAGGAGTCAGTCGATCTGCCACATTGGTGACGTCATATCTCATGTTAAAGCAGGGCCAGACTGCCGTGGATGCACTGACATTACTGAGACAAAAGAGGGAGGTCATGCCAAATACAGGATTCATGAAACAGTTATGTGAACTGGATGAAGAATTACGAGTGCACTGACATTACTGAGACAAAAGAGGGAGGTCATGCCAAATACAGGATTCATGAGACAGTTATGTGAACTGGTTGATGAATTACAGGAAAAAAAATCTATATTATAATAGCAGATCACCCAAAGTCTCCATTTCACGTTTTTCTCTCAAACTACAATGATCTGTTGACTACTGTCAGGTGTTAGCAATACCTTTAAGGCAGTGGAAAGATAGTGGCCGTAGTTTGAATTTGATTACAACTGTTAAAAGTATATTTTGAAGGCATTTGATGACCCAATGGAAATTTTTCTTTCATTTTTTTTTAAAATTATTATTATTATTATTATTGTTAAAGTTACAAAACCTTTGACTCAGGGCAAGTGTGGAAATAAGACTTTCACACAGAATATTGTACATAAAGAGATTCTATAAATTGTGTATACTAATCTCTTCTCATGGTTCAATGACTGATGTGATGGGTACAATGTATCAGCTAGTTGCTATAAATTCTGCAACTTGAATGACATGTCAAAGTTTGGTTTATGTTACATCTCCGGGAGCTGGGTGAAGAATTTTATTAATAATTATATAATAATGATAATAATTTAAATATTTATCTAATGTATAGCACCTCCAATTTCTTACATTTCAGTGCACTTTACAATTATAATATAAAGAATTACAGTACTTAAATACAGACTTACTTTTAAAGCTTAAAAACATTAATCATAAAAACTTTAAAAAGGACTAATTTTAAGAGAGGCATTTAACCTGTCAATTACCTTCGCATCTTATATAAAAAGGCAGTTCATTCCACAAATTTGGGGCTAAAACAATAGAAGCTCTGCCTCTGTAAAGTTTGTTACAGTCCCTCTCTATTTCACAGTGGCTAAGTGTAAAATTGTTATAATAAGAATTTCTAGTTTACCATTGTGGTTCATACTGATAAATGCATGTTACCTTGGTAATGTTACTTTGTGCATTTTCCAGAATGCAGTGAAATTGTGTGTGTTTCCTATGTGATATCTCACATTCAAAGTATGTTAGAAATACAGGGTTGACATTTTTTAGACAATAAATATTTTGCAAAAAAAAATTTGTACTAGATAAGAAAATTTTTGAGCAGATTCAGTTTAATGTAAGTTTTCTTGTTTTTTGTTTTTGCTTTTTAAAATGCAAAAAGTCAACTTTTTAAGCAAAATTACTGAGCAATACTGAGCAAAAAGTAGAAAAACAATTATATTCTATATCTCATGTCAGATTTATAGTGTGAATTGAATAAAAAGAGAAGTTAATCTGTAAAAGCTTCTTTTTTCTTTGTAATTGCATTAAATTCTAAATATAAATTAAATCAGTTCACAATGGCAGATAACTATTTTTAAAAATTCTAATACTCACCAAATATATGAAGAGCATTTTTTATTTGGGTGGTAAGTTGCTTGAAATCGGGCACAATAAAATACATTGCTAGTGTATGTGCTGAGCACGTCCCTTCAATTAAATTTTGTAATATGGGCATAAATTGCAGATATGAATGTCTTTTAAGTGGCCCATCTGCAGTATTTATATACTTTGTAACAGAATGCTAGCAGTAAAGGATGTAGTCCCATTTTGCTTGTCCAACTTTTACACTTACTTCCATTTCTCAGGAGATCAACATAATCCGGTTTACACATGTCAAGAAGTTAACGTATCCTTATTCCTATCCTAAGTTATCTATATCCCTATCCCTAGTTATCCTTATCCCTATCCCTAGTTATCCTTATTACTGTCCTTATTTATCCCTAGTCAGTGGCTAGCACCACCTTACTTAACGGCATCAATACCAAGTACGCTGACCAGTAAGGAACACGCTATCAGTGTCGATGTAGGTTGGCTCCTGCTCGTTTTCACGGCATGGTTACAGTAGTCGGTGTTGCAGTGACAGATAATGCCATCCACTCCGGCCTTCTCATCGCCCTTGTAGCCACGAGTTTTAGTCAGGCAGGTCAACGAGGAAGAATTTCCACAGTCTCTCACATGCCAAGGGAGTTCTGTAATTGTATAATCATGTGAATTATTATTGTAGGTGATAAGGCTTTGTAACATACAGTCTCTGTTATTGATGAAGAAGTAGATGCATATATGTCGATGTCAATATTTTAGATCCTGTTGTAGGGTATACTGTACATGATAAGTAATATGAATTTGGAAATACACATGACTTATATAAAAATAATTATTCACAAAAGGCGAAAAAGAAAAGACGTACAAATTGGCCCGCATTGGATTTAAGGAAAACGGATTAAGTTTTTAAAGTTTTCTGAAAATATTTAAAAAGACATGATGCCCTCGTGCTTTTTTACATTTGATCATTTTGCTTATGGTAACTGCGTTTATACTTTCAGAAATTAGGAGATTTGGCTTCAGATTAACTCACCAAATCCACGGATTCTGTAAAAACCGACAGTTTTCCTGCAGGATACGGAACAGTTAACCGTTGGCGTGTCTTCAATTTTTGCTCTGCATGGGTCGTTTATTTGGGCATTGCATCTGTAACATATCACTGATGTGCCTAGTACAAGTAAATCAATTAAACAGACACATTCTGAAAAGCAATTTGCGGTGTTTTGTCTTGACGAAAGTGGATTACGGTACAAGCTTGGAATAAGGCAAATCATACACTAATTTTACTATGTTTTTAGTCGTTTAAAAGATGTTGCTTATATAGGCCTATTTGATAATCGCTGTAATCAATTATTCATGTTACAACATTGTAATGATGCTATTTTACCCAAACCAAAGTGCGGCTAATACGGCTTCTTTCAGTGTATGTTTGCCTCACATAGGTTTGTTATGCAAAAATTCAAAAGCAATTTTTCTGGCTTTATAAATTATTGTTAGCTAAGATCATCAACCTATAAAGTTGTAAGTCAACAATCCTATATATATGTATTTCAATACCATCTTTCACCAGGCTTTTAATTCAGCCTATGCCTATGCGCTTTTGTGAAAATATGCAACTTTTAAACAGGGCAGACATTTAATTAGGCCTACTAAGGATGAATCTTTGATGAGCAAGCCCAGCCTGTTTCAGGGGAAATGTAGGAAAATGTAAAACAAAAGTTCACAAACGGTCCTATAGATAAATTGAAAACGGGTCTCTAACACTATTTAAATGTTGATATTAAAACAAGCCTTTTACTTACCAAAATGTATCGCATTAACAAGCAGTACAAGCACGAACAAAACCGTCCTCATTCTTGTTACCACGGCAACACAAACACGCTTGAGTGATATTTGCAAGTACGGGTTTGAAACTTAAACTTGCTTTCGCTTTAATTTCAGTGCCAGTGCCTGAAAGATTAGTTCAGCAACAGCATATTCGACGCGAAACTGGCTTATTACAAAACACGGCACACGAACTCGTATGTTAAACACATCAAATAACCTTGCTGACATTTACGATTATCTCGATTATTATTTTGTTTTAAAAAAGGAAGGGCTTTAAGTATAGACCTAGCGATGTTTCATGCGTGAAAAAAAATTGAGAAAATATCTTTTATAAAGAGACAGCTGTGGAAATATGAGAAGCAAATTCACGCCGCTGTTTCTATGATACGTATTGTAGATGATGATATCAGGTCTGAATTACGCACGAAAAGGGTCGACTTGAGAAAAAAGGGTTATAGAATAACAATAGTGAGACGTTCAGTACATGGGTGTTATTTTTTAATGAAAACAGCACGTGCGTTAATGATTACAAAACTTGACGTAAGAAAAATATGACACAGTGATATCATAATATGATGTTATGTATCAGGACAGATGAGAGAGAGAGAGAGAGAAATTAAAAAGTGCTTATTATTCTCTTGCCATATACATAATGAATTTTTGCTCAATTCATTTGTGTATCTTGCCCAACCTTTGTAATTTAACGCTACAAAGTGTAATCAGACGATTATTATCCTGCTTTCAGACCTAATTATTTTAGGCTCTCATGTTGTAAAATAAATAAATAAATAAATACCCAGGTAAATCAAGCCATAATCGAGGTTAATGCAGTCAAGCTCGGATTTACCGGAGTTCATAACCCACATCTTAAAAATCGTAAACTCCCACTGAAAACGAAATAAAAAAATGCTAAATATATAATTTCATTTACATATAAAAAGAGGTCAACCCTGAAAAACAGTTACAATGTAACCCGATACTGACTCAAAAATCTATCCTGAGATTGTGTTCTGTATATCTGCTCACAGGATGCGAGTCTTGAGCAGCACTTGAAGTAGATGGCAAGAATAGGCTACGTACGTATAAGGCCTCTATGCCATAATCATTCTGAATCTCCTACCGAAATACTGATCATAAACTGCTGCCTCCTTACTTGTATGTCTGAAAACCTAGCTACCTGTTGGTTATATGTGAAGATCATTTTGTATACGTAAGAAAAGACATTGCTTTCCGTTGTATGTAATAATAAACGTGTCGTTGATAGAAAGTTCCCATCTTTTTTATAAACTAGAGATATATAAGTCTTGATGATAAAGAAACCATATGTCATTCGGTGCGATCAGACGTCAGAGCCGTAACAGACGCCATTTATTGGGTCACAAGCATTTTTGCAAACTATGGCGCCCTTTCCTCACCCTCTTCCGCTTTGAAACGCTTTTTTTCGTTGACGACAAAGCTGTGTCGCTTACGTATCCTTCGTCATCTCTTCGTATTTTAGAAAATAACTCTGTGCGAAGAATTGTGCTGCTAATTCCCGGTATTTTAGGTAACAGGACGACGGGCATGATGTTCTCGACTATGTGGCGGTATGGGAAATTCGGTGCATCGTCCCCTCGCACAAACAAGGCCGTTTCTCCTTTTTCAAGATGCACGATGCAAGTGAAGAAGTTAGCTGCGTTCAGGCTTGTAATGCAAAATACCTGAAATAACAATGTTGATAATAATGCTAATAATAATAATAATGGCCGCATCTGTAAACTAGCCTGATCTGTTAAATAAGCAGCTATAAATATAATTATAAATAAAAAAGTTGAAATAGTAAGGAATATTTATGTTCAGATTACTTTAATTTTGCTTAAAATCATGAAAGCATGAACTGAATATATGACAACTTATTTTAACATATTGAGTGACTGTTGAAGTCCCAAGTGTTGGGACGAAATTTTAATAGGTATCCTTTCAGTTAATGTAGAAATTGAAAAGTTAAAAATTTCTCAAATATGAGTAACAATACTACAAATTAAGATCAATTTCCGTCCATCAGAATATTGCAACATGTTTCTTTGTGGCTCTTATCGCCAAGACACCCTTATAGAACTTTATATTGCATTTAAGGTAGATCGATACGTTAGGATCTATTTTCTTATGCCCTAAGATCATGAAGAAATAAATATAACAAATAATGCTGCCACATCAAAAATACAACGGGGGTGATTACGCTAATTCGAGCTGATGACGATACAGCAACGTTTTTGCGGTAAAATTGTGGTTTCGATTTCAAAGATATCTCCTGCACCTGAACAGCTATCAACACTGTTTTAACACAGATTAATAACTACAATAGGTACATGTACTTCAATCCGATGCTAGGGAATCTGTTTGAGAGGCTTACTTATTATTTTATCAGTAAGGAGGCAAAATAATGTCTTTTTTAATTGGACATCATAGCTATTGGCTCACGTCTCGTAAAAAAAAAAAAAAAGGCCTCGCTGGCACCAGATTGTAGTGCACAGACATGTTGCCAGCGTGACCATTTTCGTGACAATATTTTTCTTAGGTCTGGAGTTACGACATTAACCGATCATTACACCTTTATTGAGCATTTACTAACGATAAACGAGGGCGGAGCTTAAAAGCAGAAGCTCGTTGGGTGGTGAATAAAACAACGAAAAATGTCATTTTTGCTCTAAAAGTGTTCTGTTTTACTGGGATAGTATTTAGCTGACAATTTTACTAAAAAGAATCGAGAAAAACTGTTTTGACCAATCTAGACCGTTTTAATGTATCGATCTACCTTAAGGAACCTTAGAGCTATCAAAGTGTGTCCATGCTTACCATATCAGCATGCTGCTTGACTCTCAGCATCCGCTGTTCTATTGTTTCAATGGGGACTTTGTTCTTCATTTTGTAACAGCTACGACTGTCATGAACACCGGCTATGACCTGGAATAAATATTGGGAGTGTTGGAAATATTAATTCGGCCAAGCTCGGATGATTTCGTATCCATCGATTGAATTCACATGTAGATACGTCATTAACCGAGGTGTCCCGAATTGTTTCAGAATTGTTTCAGAAACCCGTTAGTGTCAGACAAATATCAGCTCTTACATAGCTATTACTTACGTCACATTTTACCATTTAAAACATACTGACAAAATTTCTTAGCTAACTTAAACAAGTAAATTATTAATCACTGGTGAAAATAGAAATGACAAATAGAAATGACAAATACTGGCATTCTATATGTGTCTAGAAGGGCTGCAAAAGTTAACAATGCTTTCAGGCCTGTGGACCAGGCAATCACCTGTTTTCCGAGGGCTTTGCATGTGGACAGCAGGAACACGTGTCCTTCGTGCAACAGATCAAAGCAACCAATGGTGTACACCTTGTCCACCCTGCCACCTAGCGGCAAGTTCAACAATCTGTTGTTATCCAGCAAGGATTCCACCGTGAAATCCCCATTGGTGCAACTTGCAGTCCCGCTCTCCATCTTACATCTAGAGTCAAAGGTCGAGCTGCAATTACTAAAGAGATAAAACACATACATTATTAAATTCGTTGTAAACTCATTATAAATAAATTAATAAGACAAATTACAATTACGACAACCAATGTGCTTACTTGGCTTAAAAAGATATATTTAGATGGTAAATCGAGGAGCTTAGGGAGTAGTATGCAAATTGTGTTAAGGAGGCTATAACCTGCGGTGCAACCAAGCAAATCTTTAGGTTATAGATTTAGTCTTCTTACATTTTATAAACCAAGGACATCGCCACAGCAGGTTCCATAACGACCAAGCAAAAAGTTGTTTTTTTTACTGCGATTTCTACTGATGAAGAAAAGTAAGAAACAAAGTTCCGCCCTTCACTTCACACAAGCTGCAATTCGAGTTTTCTTTAAGAAGCTTTCAGTATAATGGTCCATTTAGAACAAGTTGATCCGACCCATCTGAAAGCTTGCCGCAAAATCCCCTAATAGGCACTAAATAGATATTCGTGCGGGGATCATGCGTTACGCTTTCAAGTGGGTCGGCGATATTTGATCCGCGAATAAATTTTGGTTGTGAATGCGGCCTAACACGATAGTATTAGTAATTTTTTTAATTTTTACTCGTGACTCAAGTCTTAATCAAGGACTACGTACAATATGTCTAATTTTGAATTTGGTAGGAGTTTCTTCGTTTAGGCGTTTGCAAAGTGTTGGGACCAGAATTTACAGGACTTTCTTTGATTTTTTTTTTTCATTTACTAACACGTTTTCTAAATAGCATTCAAAACAGTGGACTTACTAGGCCGAGGGTCAAATATGTCCGAACCGCTTGAATACTTCCCCACGGGGAATCTATTCAGTGTCTATTAGCGGATTAGACGGCAAGTTTTTTAGTGGGTCGCCATATTTGACCCGCGTACTAGCTAGTCCACTGTTCTGAATGCGGCCTAATCTGTCTTGGTCAAAGGGTCAGTAACCCTTTGTGCCGACATCTGGACACGCTCAACATAAATAAATTAACAAGATAAATTACAATGTTTACCATCACGCACTTTAACCATTGACATAGACCACATTTAATGTTAAACGGTCTTATGTGTCTCTTCAGACTGATAATATTTTGAATGCTAGATGCACACGATAAAATCTACCTGAGGTCCAACGGAATGCATATTTAACTTTTAACTTGGTCCCTTTTTAATGCACGGAAACAGAGAACTTTGCATTTTTGGATATGAGTCGAAAACGTTAATGTGCTGGAGGTATCTGCTAGATAACATGCAAAATTAAGCGTTATTACATTGAATGTCAGGAGATAAGTTTAAACCTTGGGTTGATCTTTTTTTAAATCAAAGCCTGTTTGAAATAATTTGGGGTTGTTATTTGGCCACACCTGGCATTTTTCCATATATTAAGCTCAGTGTCTGTAAAATGGTTATCGCAAAGAAATATTGAGTCTGCATTACCCATGGTTCTTGTCCATTACCCTGTTTTGTCCAGGTTATGACCCCCTAAAAGTCCGAAAAGTGCATGACCGCATACCATAAGAGAGTAAGCATCGCACTATCGAGCATGGTATTTCACCCCACAATTAAAATGCTTACATTGACAGGGGCGGATCCAGAGATACTATCTGACAGTCTTCCAAATGATCTTTGTTGATACATCCTCCATTTTTTGACCGTCTTCCGACAGAAAAAACAAATATATATATATACCTATCATGTAAACTTGAAAATCTGACCGTCTTCCGGAAGACCCAGAAGATGGCCTCAATCCGCCCCTGATTGATACAGTCTCGACGGATAGATATTTGTTTCCTTTCTATATAATACAACGATTCTAAACCGTTACACACGCAATAGGCGACTCCAGGACTTGACCACGTGTATATTGTTGACGTTTTGCGTTCTTGGCCCAAACCAAAGTGTGAAATGATTGTATCTGACAAACAAGATCTCAAAATACTTTTTACAATCCACAATGGTGTGTGATGTAATTTCGGCCTTATAGTATCCCCCATTATGAAAAGAAATCAAAATGAATTGAAACGTACATGTACTGTACCTGTAATATGAAGCAATTGTGCAAATATTTTACAAACTGTGTTCGTTCCTGACGCTACTCAAAGGATCAATTTTTTATGGAAGCCCCATCCCTGTTTTAAAGAAATATCGTCTCTATTCAACCAATATGTTGAGATATATTGAGATACAGTAATTCTGCTAACCAAGAGAGGTTGTTCTCCACTTCTGCTTGGAAAACAAACAAATTAAACAATTTGAAAATTAGGTTTTTTACACTTTACCTGCTATGTAATAGATAGACCCTGAGTCAGCGAGAGTTATGTGGCATACACGAGTGCGTTATTTAGACCACGGGTCCATTCACGGGTTATAACGCATTCATGCAAGACATGCGGTTACACCACGTCTAAGTCTTATGTTCTTTATTTCCACCGTGGTCTAAATTGTATCTTAAACTGCAAACAACGCGCAAAGCATTTATACCGCATGAATGCGTTATATCCCGCTAATGGACCCGTGGTCTAAATAACGCACTCGTGTATGCCACATAACTCTCGCTGACTCGGGGTCTATCTATTACTTAAACTGCAAACAACGTGCAAAGCACTTTTCTGCACTCTGTAATGATAATGACGGAGCTATAAATTGGTTGCATAACTACTCAGGCACTGCCATGTTCCAAGTCCCTGCCAAGCCCCCCTTACAGCAATCAAAACAGTTCATTGACTTGTGCTTAAAAGGGTTTTCGACTGTTCCTTTTGGCCAGAAAATGGATTTCCCTTGGGTAAACAACAATTTTCCCATGTTTACCAATAGTTAATAAATCTGTTTCGACATTTAAAGTTAGTTCTTGTTTCTTTTCTCAAAAGTTTAGTTTTTTGTAACATTCTCATAAGTGATAATATACAGTGGGTAGACATATACAGTATGGAGGTTACATGGTCTGATGGCAAGCACGGGTTCCAGAATAATTGTGATAACTGCCGTTTTGGTGGTAAAATGGAATTTATTATATTTCTATGAATTGTTTACAATGTATTTCTCGTGAAATATAGATTTCATACAGATAATTGTTATCCCTTAAATCATTTGCCCTTCTTAAATCATTTGCCCTTCAAAAAGATCTTTTTTACACTTTGGAAGGAAAAGCTTTGGCTATAGGTATTTTGCTATAATCAAATACTTGACTACGTATAATAATAATAAAGAAAAATCAAATCGGCAAGCAAATTATTAAAATTTTCTTTAACGTCAGTTGGAATGTATCGGGACACACATTGAAAGCTTAATTTTTTTACTGATAAACCAGAACATTCAACTTTAAATTTCTTTTTAATATGTTATCAGAGGGGGTTAACGTCCACTTATGTTCTTGAGACAAATGTCCATGTTATACTTACCAAGGATACTCCGTGTACTAGCCCACTTCACAAAAAGTCAATTCTATTCATAGGAAGATCAGAACACTGGTACTAGTCTAAATGACAAGATTTCTACTGACACCTTTATCTTTATGGTGAAGTCTTCTTCCTGCCCCACAACCCTTTGTTCTTATACCACATTGAGCACTTTCAATTAGTGGTCGGCCGAGTGGAAAGTGGGAGGGAGGGGCAATTCTGCGCTCTGATTGGCTTAGTTTTAGGTGATTGATATCCAGCAATAGATAATTTTTTTTGTTGCAACTGACATTGTCGGATGGGACCAACTCAGTCTGTGAGTGCTGGTCTCCATACGTAGTGCGTACAAGAGGAATCAGCCATTTGGTGCATGGTGTTCGTGTGGAAGTTGAACAATCCGCTGTAACTTAGGTAGGGGGACTTCATTCCAGCGTCATATAAACAGTGTTTCTTTTTAATAATGAATTCTTTGCCGCGCGCAGTATCCCGTAGAATCCGTAGTTTTCTGTTTCAGAAGCCGACCTTCTACAATCATGGACGGGTGATAGATTCATTAGCCAAAATGGCGAGAGTATTTAAATACTTCTTGATCGAATTTGAGCTAGCGCTTTGCATTTGCATTCTTACGCGTGGTGTTGTCAATTTTGCGGTTTTTTAGATTCAGAGGAATGGAAACTCTACAGTAAACTGAACCTTAAGGACTAAGGCATAGTTCCAGTTTTTTTTTTTTTTTTGGGGGGGGGTGAGAACTTGAACAACAATTTTGTTTTTTGAAATGAGGACATTAAAATAGTGTGACATAGTCAATATGCATTGGATTTTTTAACTCAAGTAACATGGCAAAAGGATACTTACAGTTTTATATAAGTTCATGGTCACAGTGGTTTACTACGTGTAGATGTCCCTTACGTATTATATAAAGCACTTAGGTATTTCGCATGCTTCTCGGTAAGTCTGCTGCATCTAGCAATTCAGATCGCTATCAAGACTTGCGTGGTTGACCCGTACCTAAACTGACCCCCGCCTGCTTGATTTATGGATGGACGCGTTTTTAGAGTTGGGGCTTTATCCCGAGGAAAAAAAAGTAGCATATTAATGCCGCTAAGTCACTGTTTGCAGCAATTTCAAGGCCAGCTTCGAGCAATCCTCACACAAAACATCGGGTTTATGTGAAATATTCTACTGAGTCCGTTATCCTTTTCCTTGTGAAGATCTGCACGGGGGTCATAGACCCCATTCCCATTCCTAGATCGATCTACTCTCCTATGGGTTTCTCGCTAAATTGCATTCAGCTTTTATAAAAGCGTCTCTGATGTCTGGCACGCCTACTGAAGCTGTTAGGAGGCAATGTAACTATACTTTAGCAGCTTCAGTTGGCGTGCCAGGCATCTTAGCCGCTTAATCTGAATGCAATTTAGCGAGGATACCCTCGGAGATGGGTCGATCCTGCTAGATCGATCTAAGTATGGGAATGAGGTCTTATAAACTACATCACATGTTCTATTATGGAGGCACAGTGACTTTAGATGGTAAATGCGCGTTTGTGATTGCGTTCGATCACATGGTTACAGTTTTGTTACACAGTATAGAGGCCTCTGTGATAGGACCGTGTGTGTTGGGCGTGGTAAACTTTCATCACTTATGCCACTACGTCCATGGTGCACATGTGAAGATTTGAAGTTTGATGCTGGCCGGCAAGTATCAGAAATGAAACCTCGATATCTACGATGAGGTACAATGTACTTCAAAATGTTATGACGATTCTTTGGACAAAATTTGACGTGTCGGTTAATTATCTATTGATGTTTCTACCTCATTTTTGCCGTGTATGTTTCCCACCAGGCATTTGAAGCATAATCTTTGGCTTTTTTACGAGCAGGTTGTCTTCGCGCAAGCGACATGTATCTGATGTAAGTGTTCAATCGGTAGTCGTAAGACTGTTTAAGAAGCTGTTCCTTGTACCAGATTTACATCGAGTGAAATTTGCCTTTTGTTCTATTTTCAGGGTGTACTATATTTACCCCTATTCGGTCTTCTTAACAGACGGACGGTAAATCACCAGCCTACCTTCAAGCACATTGCATGCACCTAAACCTACCTCCTACCTTGATACCTGATTCGCAGCACTGCACAATGGTATGTAATCGAGAGCCCTCTGAATATGTTGAGTATGCCTGGGGTAATATTTCATCGGGTCTGTACAACTGATTCAAGATTGGCCAGCTTCGTACTGCGTGTCCGCTGCAACATCAAGCTAAGGATAATGCATGGCTGTACTGTCACGAAATAGATCTCGCATGACACAGTAAGACCTGTATGGTGTGTCGGATAGCCTTACAGACATACAACGGATGGACATGCAACTTATACTTTGTGCTAAAATGGCATTGCCGTTGGTTATTATGACGTGTTGGAATTATTATACAGTACTGCTAGTGATAACAGCAACATTGCACCCTATTTGTATAACAGGTGCAATATCGGGGGCAAACATTATTGAGGCATCATCAACCGTGCTGCCTAAACCGTCTGAACCCGATTGGTTGCACGCCACACCCTCCGACACTAGTCTAGCAATAATGGTGTCTTTTTGGTCTTGGATGTGGACACCTTCAATGAGAATTGGCTCTAACTCTACGACACCCTTTGACGAGATGAAAATGACTGTTCTGGAGCCCCTCGGGACAACAACACACAAAATTACCGCCTCAGCTGTGAGAACAGCGCTGGAGACGTCAAATGACATCGCTGAGGCTAACTCTCTTGAAGAACTGACGGCGCCTAATATTGTATATGCACACCCAACTCATTTCCAAGGGTTCGGAGAGTCAGCAAAGTGGGTTGATGATCCCCCGTCCGAGACAAGCTTACCAATTATGATATCGTATGCGTCATGGATGTGGACCGATCCTGTGACGTTATTTACAGATACTATGATGTTATCAAAAGATACTGTGACGTTATCTACAGATACTGTGACGTTATCTAGCAACACCATGACGCCATTCACACACACTGTGACGACGACTGATTATTCTACGATACATGAGAAGTCAAATAAGATGACTACATCAAAGACAGAAACTTTAATTGAACCATCTTTCACAGTGACTTCATTGGAGAGGCTTTCGTTTGTTAGAAATACAAAAGAACTATCTACAGATGTTTTTAAAACGAAGAACATGTCGTTGTCTCCATTCCCCTTACCTGCCTTAGCAACTGCTGTCCCTTTTACCTTCTAAGCAAATTAAGACACAGATACATTGTCCTGGATGTATATTTTGTGACTTCTATCCGCCTTGATGGCAACCTGACGTCAATCACTTATCAATACAAAGGAACTATGATTGTAATATGTGATTAGCCTGTGCAAACGCAGTACATTTTTTTTTGGTGAAAAGTACTATGCAAATGCCTTTAAGGGACATACATAAACGTAATCATTAAAGGTCATGACCTACATGTGCATAGTTTTATTCATTAAATGATAGCCCCAGAGTGCACACTTGCATGTCTAGCCCACTGGGCACTTGCTTTCCCTTTACCTGGGCCCAGTTTTATAAAGGGCGTTTGGTACTAGCCGACATACGCGTGTAAGCCTAATGAAAGCCAACTAGAGCGCAGACCTCCGCCAAGGCAGCAAAGTCTCCATCCAATGCCGTTTCACCCCTAAATTTTCATTCTATAATGATTTTGTTTTTTTATTTTTGATTATTGATTGATTATTGATCCAGATCACCACCAAAAACTAAT